AAAAATGCAAAATGCTCAGCAACCAGGTGATTATACACTAAAGAAAACATACCTATGAATATTATATTCCATTTCTGCCAATAGATCATCTTAAATGTTACACAATGAACCTTTGAACAATTTATTTATTCAATTAACAATACTGTCATGAATTAACTTTGACTAAGCCATTAATCAAGTAACCATTTCAGCTCTACTCAGGCTTTTTTATGGGCTATTTCTTCAGGTTACATGAGTAAAACTGTCAATATTGTCCTCAGAAAACAACAAACCAATCAGTCAATCTCCTACAACTTTAAAGTGACATTAAGGAATATGATACATGTGTACAGCCTTCTTTCTACATCCTCAGTATGTCAGTTCTTTGGAACTTGAATCATAACAACTGTGGTATCTGAAGCATGGGGCATTGTTTCTTCATTAGGAGGTCAAAGAGGAATCTCACAGTAACACTAAGAGTATGCAGGATCAACACTACTGAAATCACAGAACTAACAGAGCAATCAAGTTCTGCCTTGAATTACTGAGTCACACACAAACCTCAAACATGTTTCAGCTACAGTATGTGCTTTGAGTTTTGGATATATTAAAGCACCTACCAAATACCAATTCATTTTTTTATTTCCACTGTTATCAGAATCAGAATTTTGTTTATTGCCAAGTAGGTTTTTACGCCTACAAGGAATGTGACCTGGTGCAGTTGGATACACATATACAAATACAAATATACAATTATTCAAATCACACAGAAAAATAAAGTACTTTCAAAAAAAATAAATAGATAAAGATAAGAAGAGAAAGAGAAAGCTGTGCAGAAGTATCATGTTGTCTCTCATGTTACTGCTGATGCACACAAGCTGTCACACATTTACCATAAACTCTGCTGCTCACAGAAGTTTCACATAAAGTTAGAATCTTCTTGATAACAAATTTCTTCTCTCCGATTAAATTACAAGTCATAAGACTCAGATAACGATGATGTTGTAACTACATGTTCAGACTCGAGTGAAAAAAAAAAAAAGGACACCTTAAAACGGTTTGCGAATGCAGCCTTATTTTCACTTTCAAACTTAACAAATTTGGTGCAGTGGGAGGTGCGGCTGGATGGACTTTATGCTGACATGATAACACCTACATGTGTTGGTAGCACAAAGTTGTTTTAACACAGAATTGTTAAGAAAAATACTGAATTAATGTGTTTAACTTAGCGACTACAAATTACCCAAATACTTCACTGTATGTATGACAACTTATTCTTTAATTAGATAAAGCCAGTGGGAAGCAAATTTAAAAAGGGAACACTAACATTAGATATTGTTCCTGGTGTGTTCACATTAAGCTAGTGCGACTATTAAGTTGTGAATAAACACAGAGGGGCTTGTATAAAGTCTCCATTTTAAAGAAGTATGTGGCACGGTTTTACAGCTGAAGTCACTAAACAGTCCTCATTCTCGTGTTTATTATGGATCATTACTCAGTAGCATCATATTGTGATGTGTCTGCACTGCATTCCAATGTTTTGACATTGCCACTTTTAAACTACAGTGTGACGAAGAGACACAGAGTAGTACATGTTGTTTTCTTTCTGCCAGTGTTGTTCACATGTTAAAGGAAATCAAACCAGGCCTAAACATAAATGTACATTACCACTGAAGATGTTAATCAGCTCCCTGAAGTGAAAGAAATGTCTTTACATCTGAGGGCGTTACACTGGAGTTCACTAAAATTCAAGCAGTCTGGAAATAATTTCGAGGGGATCTGAGGTTTCTGGTTAGTTGCTGTACCAACGTATTAGAGCTCATTTCTAAGCTGAATGTGTTTTTGATCAGATTTGGGGAAATCAGCTCTGCAGAACAACAGTCTTACTCTAAGCATTTAATACAACGTGTGCTGTGCAGCTTTGTGCCTCATGTGTTATATTACTGCATTACAACAGTAGGTAGTCGAGTTAGGTTGTTGATTTGATTTTGTGACAGTGACTGTTAGTCGTCGCTGTCCAAACTAAACCATGTGGCTCCAATTTTGGGGATTTTGAAATATTCAGATAGCTGAAGGATTAAGTGTTTCTTTATGAGATACGGATAAATAAATCATTTAAAACCCACAGAATAATCTGAAAATTGAATTATCAAAAAAAGCTAGGGCACCCTGATGTCAATCGGCCAATACGCTTTGGTGTATTTCCAGTATGAATTAATGGATGGAAGATTTTTATATCGAGGGTCTCTGATGCCACTGGGGGAAGAGAGTAGGGCCTGTTATTTGCATGACTTTTATAGTCATGAAGTAATGAGAAATGACAGCAAAACTAAGACTGAACATGCATATATAACAAGTGTGAAAAAACTTCCTTTGGAAACAATGTGTCTGTATCTATTAATAGGTGTGAGACTCCATAAAGTGAAAAGACTATCAGCATCCTCTGTGGTAGCAGGGAAATACTTATTTCTTCTTCCACCCTGTACAGATATAGAAATAAAAGAATATAATGTACCTGAGATGCAGCTTTTCTAAGCTAGCGTCTGCCAGGTCGTCATTGGCTCTCTGATGGATGTCTCTCTGCGTCTCGATCTTGTGATCGTCTGACAGGCCGTCCACTTTATGGATAAACACCTCAAAATTGATCTCTGGGTTGACTCGGTAGGCCCGCGACACAGTGAGGTGAAGCCTTCCCAGGGCCTCCACGTAATCATCCTTAAGAAGAGGGAAGTAACGTATTAACACATCAAACCATAAATACGTTACAAAACGCAAACTTCCTTATTTTAGATCCCAGCGATGCTTTATGACTGCATTCATGGACACCGCCAACATATAATTAATAACCTTTACTCTGCTACACTGTCAGCAGAGTTAAAACAATTCAGAACAAAACTATTAAGCTTCATTAAACTTTTAGATACCTCAAAATTGCATGTGAATATCTTCTGCTTGGATGAACCTTGGAAACCAGCCAATAATTATACACGAAAGATCAATTATAGGAACAATGCTAGAGCTAATTTGCGTCGGTAAAATGAACAGGAAAAACAGGACACTGGAAAGTGTTACAGGACCGACAGGTATGAGGAAATGTACTGCTCCATTGTCTTCTGAAAACAGCAAGACAAAAACAAGTCTCCTCAGTCATCACTGTGTGACCAACTGCTGAAACAAATTGAATCTGATGCACCTCCATGAGTACAAATAAATCCTGCAATCAGATCAGCTGCGGCTGAGATTACTTCTTGAAAGCACTTAGGGGTCATGTGGATAGCACCGGCATAAAAGCCATGGCATGTAATTGTCTCTTACCCCGGCCGCTCTGGCTGTTCATCACTGACTCAGTTCTCGAGGGCTTCTACTGTACCTTACAACAACTGTGACGGCTAAAATAAAAACGTCCAGTCATTACCCAGAAGGGAAGAGGAAAAGCAAAAATGCACATTTTTAAGTCAGCATATGTGAAACATGACCTTTGACTGTGAAAGGACACATTCACTTCCTGTGTTTATGACCGTGTTAATTAACCGCAGATTTTTCAGTTCTTCACCTGAGCATCGATGACAAATATCAAAGCCCCAGTTCCTCTGAAGATCATCTCGTAGTCGAATGTGGGGTCGAAGAAGTCAATCTGGCCGGGGAAGTCCCATATCTGGAAGCTGACAAAGGAGCTGCTGGAGATGTCGTCCTTGTAGATTTTATTGGTGCTCTCCAGGAACAAGGTCTCGTTGGGAGACATTTTGTGGAACACCACCTGAAATCAAAAGGGTTAATGTTAATGTTGACACAATGACTTGGTGTGGGTAATCTGGAGTCCTACAATAATGATTTATACTCAAAGACCAAATAACAGCAAGCATTTTATCACACTTGGGTAACGATTTCAAGGCTCCAACATAATTCGCAGACAATTGATTGTTCACCCAAGACACTCATTTTATTGAACATTACGAGTTTCAATTTACTGAAAATATTCTCAAGCGTACAGACAACCCCAAAGTCTGAGCGAGTGACAGAACTGAACAATACTGTTCTTCTCTCTCTCTTCTGTTTTAATATCTGTTAAATGACTCTTTTTTTTTATCTCGTTTGCCTAGAAAATTCAGACAAATATGAAGAATTTAACAGCAAATGCATACAGAATATAACTCTATGGACTAATTGTTCTTACGGGTTTTCTTCACTGGTTACACTGATAGAAATGTGTGTTATAATATTGTTTTTATGGGAAAGATCATCCCGACAGTACTGTATTTTGATTTATGCTATAATTCAAGCACAAACACATCATTCGGATATCACATGCAAGAGGGAAAAGGGCAAAACATTGCAGACATACTCATCTGACGCAACACACGTCTCTACATTCAGCCTTTTTTTTTTTATTGTTTCCATCGTGGTCTCGGTCTACTGAATCCAGTAACAGGTAGAACACAGTGCAGTCGGCGATGGTGGAGGACCTGGGAGCGATCTCTCCACCACTGCCATCTTGAATCAGTGTGTGAGCCCCTGAGGTCACAGGCCAATGAACCAGCAAAAAGCCAAATCACGTTTTCCCAGCCCATACTGGAGGCTTACAGGAGAACGTTAATCTGAGACTTGATGGTGTGTGGATTACAGCTAAACAGTACGAGAGCAGTTCAGTACAGAAAAGTGCAGCTCTTTCCTCCAGGCAGCGTCTGTAGGATGGACTCCTGGCCAGTCACGCTATATCCAGCCGGATTCTACTTCCCTTTGGATTTTTAACATAAATAATAAAATATCATAGAAATCCAAAGCTGCATCTCATGTATTATTCAACCACGGTGCCGGTCTGAAAGCGGTTTGAGGAATATGATTGAGACAGCTAACCTTTCTGTAGGACTTGATCTGGATCACGCAAAAGAAAAAAGGCATTTAAATCAATGAGGGATTACCAACTGGGCAAAGTGGGCCACAACTCGAGGGGCCGAATGCTCCAAGTTCACTGCAGGTCAGCTGGTTTTGGTAAAGTTGAGTAATTGCAGGGGACTTCGCACCACTAAAGTCTAATACTAAAGCTGGAGCGTGGGACTATATCTCTGTATTTCGCAAATATAGCAGCGTTTTAAAATCCGCCGTCTGTGGCGTCGTTCCCCTGCTGGCGCAATGGTAGCAATGAGTTTAACGTCAACCAGCAATGATTGATTAGACAGAGCTGAGGGGGGGAACGACTGTGGTGACGGAGTAGGCAACAAAGAAGGAGTATGGTGGAGAAACCAGAGAAGTGACATATGATGTCAAACAATTACATCTGTAGGCATTTATTATTAGCCCGCACTGACAGTGTTTGTGTAATGACTCTCACTGCCAGAAGGGGGAGACAAAAGTGTAATTCTGCAGGTTTAACTAAAGCTAAGCGAAGATAAGCCGGTCTGTGTCTTGGAGAAGGAGACAAATCAAATCTTATATTGTGTCTCACAAACGGCATAATCCGAATGAATTCAGTTAATTAAGTTCCCACAACCAAACACAAATTTATATATTTATATAAATATAAGTGAGGTTTGCTTTAGCACAGGTGAACCATCTTGTGTCACACAGCAAAACGCTGTATGTGTAATGAGGATGACTACGACTGAGGCCTTCATCTACTAGGTCAACTGATATCAAACAGGAGCTGAGTCAGGATCTGGGTGCTTTCAGCTAAAGGAACATTACTGGGGAAATCCCTGGCAGTACTGGCTGACTTACTGGGAACTTGGACACATACATGTATTACACAAGGGGTGCTCAGTAGGAGGACCCCCCCCTCCCCAACAAATGTCTTCCCCCTAGCAGGCCCCCTTAAACTCCTCATTCCGGCCCTGATTTGAAAACACAAGCTGCAGGTGCTGTGGCCTGGTGCACTGATTTTTAGAGTTGTTTTATAAAACAAAGTGACATGACTTGCAGAAAGGAAGGTGCGGTGCCCAGTTTGCTGTCATATGAGAGTCTATTGCCTTTTACAGCTGGGGTGCGACTACACACACACATCTGGCACGTTGGACGAGTTGTTAACCAAACAGTCACATGCTTTTGTGTCAGTAAAAAAAAAAACAATAGATGCACCTAGCGTCCACCTTGGTTAATAATTCACAGCTACATTTAATAAGGTAGCTGACACAGAGAAGGGCTCACCAGCTCTTTAACTCCACTCTCGTGTTAGACAGTGTTATCTCGCTGGTTGAGAGCTATCATCACTTGCGACGTGCTAATGTACCCCCGGCTAGCTGTGTTGGCTAACAACCCATTTACTTGCCTGAGGGCAAAAGGGGGGAGGAAGGCGCCGCTCGCCTCAACAAAAAAAAAAAAGGCAACTAGCTCCCTGCCTTTACCTTCTGTATGGATGATTTGCCACTTCTTCTCAAGCCCATGAGCAGGATCCTCGGCTTGCTGTCGGACGGCGCCGGGCTGTCCTCGATGTCGGCCTCCTCTTCACCGTAGCCGAAATCTTTGGGGAACGAGTCTGCAACCCCGTAGCTGTCAGCCAGCTGTTCCACCTCGTACTGAATCGACATTTTGACCTAACGACGGTCGCTTCCCCGCTTTCCCCCCTCTTTTGCTCTTCGCCACACCCGTGTTTTGTACCGTACGACCGGTGTGCACCGCGGAGTAACGTCACACGATGAAAATAGTTTGTCGATAATGCCCAGGCTGCTTGGAAACACCGAGCGTGATCCCACACATTTCCTTAGGATTTCCTCTCTCTTGAAAAAAAAAAAAAAAGAAAAAAAAAAACTCGCCCCCTTAGTCCCGCCCCCTTGTTTCCGATTGGCTGCCCGAATTAAAACACGAGAATTGATTGGTCGAGCTGCCTGTCACTCTACTGAGGTTTGTCGCTGTCACCTGACTAGTACTCAGACTTGCTGTGTGACCTATCACCCGAATAAGAGGCAAATACGCACTCGCCACAGCAGTTTGAACCAGTTTGAGTTGGTAGCAATAATTATTGATTTTATTTGGTGTAATAAAGTCAATTTAAAAAAAAAAAACTAAAAACAAATAGAAACGTGGGCCGCTGTGTGTGTTCTGCGATATTACCAGCAGAGGGCGTCAGAAAGCCACTACAGTAAAGTTCAGTGTCTTCATAAAGTGTCGGAATTAATCCTTAAAATCACTACAAAGACGCAAAAATGTAATTTCCACGATATACACTCGTCTACGCGGCGTGTGTTGACAGAAAATACACAGCAATCGAATTAAAGCCAGGGATATGGTAAGCGTTTCCAACTGAAGTCCTGAAATACGGGACCAATTAATTCCAAACAGAAAGACGATAGAATGTAGTTGTTAAAAAAATAACACCATTGACTTGAGTTTTATATATTTATTATCTAAGGTTAGATCTATACCTTCCGTTTTTTAAACTAATATTAAGGTGTCCAGACGTTTACAGCCAAATAAAACAATCTTCCTCTTGGTTGCCATATATTTTTACTTTTACGTGACAAGAGCACTTGCTTATATATATATATTCTTATGCTGAGAACAAAGGTGAGCCTCTCACCATGATCACCATATATATGTATTATATGTGCTTTTTCTAATATATCCACTTATGTCCACAAAATGTATATTCGCGCGAGCAGTGCAGACGGACATTCACACACATGAGGTGTTGGACTGGACTCTCTCTTCCCTTCTCTCTCTTTCTGCACTCATTCATGTCCCTAATTATAATACAATGCTTACTATAACTTCTACTATCTATTATCTCACCACGAAGAAATTACATTCTTTGTTGACTTATGTCTCCATTGCATCTCATCTAGGTTCTCATTAGTGGCGATCTTGGTGAGCCTCTGCCATAATTATTAGAGTGTATATCACCTTCGCTGGTGACTCTATTCGTCAATGCCTTCACCATCTTAGGTATATCAAACTGTCTTCTGTGTTTATGTGCATAATTCAATTGTTGCTAATAGGTAGCTAAAGGTTATATATAGCATTTATGTCAACCAATGGAGGTATACAAGGTGTTCTTACTTATTGTTACAGTTACTGTTGTTACTTATTGACGGTGCTCGCTTGTCCCCCATGTTGCTTGCTGTCATCGTCTATTTTCTCATTGATCGTCACGACACTTACTTATTAATGTAATTGTCTGCCTACTGTTGTTTACATGTACATCTGTCTGGTTAAAAAAAAAAAAACACACTTGACTTAGAGTTTTATATATTTTATATCTAAGGTTAGATCTATACCTTTACGATTTTTAAAAATACTAAGGTGTCCAGCGCTTTCAGCCAAATAAAACCAATCTTCCTCTGGTTGCCATATATTTTTACTTTTCCGAGCAACACTTGAAGGCAGCATCTCTTGCTGAAGACCCGATAAACGAAACTGAAGTTTTCAGTTTACCTGCTTTTCAAAATAGTTCGCGCGACATCAAGCGGGACAAAACATAGTATATATATATATATAAGAAGAAAGCCAACTTTATAGCCTGCATCGTTATGGCACATTATAGAGTAAGTTCGCTTCGCTGTGCACTATCGTCAATGCTCTGTAGAAACTGTTTCTTGTCTTGTGCAACTGTAAGGTAGCTAAGCTAATATTAGCAACCAGGGAGGTTACAAGGTGTTCATCAGTGAGCAGACGGACCACCTGTGACAGCTCTTCATTTGGGTTTTTGGGCTGTTTTTTAATATCTTATAGTCAAGTAAAGTTGTGAAAGTTGATGCAAACTAACTAACAAACTGCTTCTTGGTCATAATTTGACTATTTTATGACCGGTAGCAAACGTTAACAGCTAAGTAACTTAACTTAACTGTGTACGTGACTTTTAACAGGCAAATAAACCACTGATGAGAAATCAAATATAAAGTAATGTTTAACCGTGCTGTTAAATTTCTATAGGGTGTGAGTTAACTACATCTGGCAGGTGACTGTTTTGTAATCAGTTGGTAATCAAATGTCTTTACTTTTCCTCCTCCAGGGTCCAGACCCCAAAAGGGAACAGTTTCGGAGATACTTGGAGAAAGCTGGGGTTGTAGACAGTCTCACCAGTGGTATGGTACTTCCCCCACTATTAAACACTATTAAACACTATTAAAAGACATGACTGGACTGAAAATACCAATGCATAGCAAGATATTGATTGCCTGTGGTGAACAGCACCAAATTATTATCCAATGACACCAAATCAGCTGTTTTAGTAATCAGGACTTGTTTAGGTATTTATTGGGCTTTTTAAGTAACTTTGAGTTTCAGTAGTGACAGAAAAACTTCTTGCCGGAAAGAATCTATAAATGTTATTCTACAGAAGTCCCTTTTTCTTACAAAACTAATAACAAATGATACCAAACTTCTCAAATGTATCAGTTTTAATTTAGTCTGAGCTTAATGCAGCAGTACAAGAACTGTGACTAAACAAATACAGTTTAAAGTTAAAAAATCTGGTCAAAGAAAAAGAATTTGCTGCCAACAGTCAGTTTCTGTATCAGATTTGGTCTGTACCGATATAAAAAAGTATTTGATACTTATACAATATTTGTTTCCACTCTTGTGCAATTTCATTTACATCTTTTTATTTTCTTCTCTCCTGGATTTCAGTTCTAGTGGCTTTGTATGAGCAACAAGAAAAGCCTAACAATGCTCTGGAGTATCCTTGAATACCGGTTGGAGAAATTGTCTGTTTAGTTGGTAGTGAGTTGATACTAAATAATAATAATAATAATAATAATGAAGATACATTTCCAGAATTAAGTTGATAAAAGAGGCCGCTGCTTGCTTTAGATTCTTGAACCAGCTCCTTCCAGATTTGTCAAGGAGCATCTGGGTGCTGCAGGCGTGACTTCGGCCGACACTGAGGCTCTGCAGCAGGAGGTGATGGACCTGAGGCAGAGGTGTGCACGTCTGACAGAGGAAAACAAAGACCTCAAAACAAGGGTAAGCTTTTGCCGGTTCTTATCTTATAGTTGCGTGTGACCCGAGGATATGTTTGTTGATCGGTGTCAGGCCGCTCTCCTTAGGAAACTATTTTTGATTTAAGAAATAGCAGAAAGACGCCAAAACACACTGTAGCTGTCAATGGTGACTGTATCGAAGTTAAATAAATATCTAGGGACAGTAATCGATGTAAAACTGTCTCAGGGGACTTAAACACAGGAGAGGTTTACAACAATTACAAGCCTTCATACCTTCCAGTATAGCTCTGTTATAGAAATCCTCGTTATGTGAGAGTTTTGTCACTTGTGGTGTTGTTGTTTTGGTCTGATAATTGCCGTAGACACAAAGGGAATTTCTGAAAAGAAAACTAACATATTTCTCCTTTTATCTCTCCAGCTGCAGCATTATGAACCAGAAGATGGAGCCACAGCTGACTAGACCTCAGCAGAGCTTTGGTTTAATAAATATATGTTTTTGTTTATATTGCTGTCACTTTGAATTTAAAGACAAGAAATGTAAATCTTAGTTCCCATATAGTTTCTTAGAATCTAAGTTATTCTGTACATGTATGTATATAAGTTTTCTTTTCTGGTCATTCAGTCTTTAGTATAACCTTCTCCTTCTTCTTTAGACATGTGACCTTTTTTGAGGGCTCTGTGTAAGAATATAACCAATGTGTAAACATATAGAAACACACACTTATCCTTTATTTCCAAAGGTGTGGTGTAAGTAAATGGTTGTAAAAAGTTCAACAATGTAAGTCGCTGGTAAAATAAAGCACAGTCTTGTTGGATCACCGATTGTATTCATTTCTAAATGGCGATCTACCAATCGGGCCTTTTATTGGAATATCAGAGGATTTTGTTAGTGTGGTCAGTTACAGCTGTGTATGTCAATATTGCATAACTGCCTGTGCTCCCCCAGCAAACAAACCAGGTAATACAGAGACAAATGAAAACACTGGGCAGCACAGCACATCTGGTTTTCTTCCAGGTTCAGTCAGATTTTATTTTTTATTTTTTTTTGTCTCGTCAGGGACAAAGTCAAAACTATTAAGCAGGATAGTAATCCAACAGCATTCTTGTTGGTGAGGACGGTGCTGCTGTGTTAGCTGCTTATTGATATGCTCAGGAGTATTTTTTATATTAATGGCAATACTGAGACAGAACCGCTTTTTTCCTCATTGTGGATTAAAACAGAACTAATATTACCACATTTTATATCTCTTCTCCATTTCCGAGGTGACTCAAACCCTTCTGCTAATTCCCTAAAACATGTAATGAAAGCGCAAACCTCAAAATATCTGGATGTTCTTTTCTTTAGCATCTGGTACAAATGTAAACATTGCTATGGAAGAGTTTGCAAAAGCTTTTCATAAGCCTACATGTGTGCCGTGCTACAACTAGTACCAATTGTGTGACTTGTATAAGTGTCACAGTTACCAGAAGTAAATGTGCAGACAGCCATATAGAGCAAATTAGCTTGAATTTAGCAGCCAAAATGTACTGACACTTCTCTTTATAGTGAAATTAAATTGGACTTTACTACAACCCTGCAACCTGTTAGCTCAAATATTAACTATGCTTAAATACTTTTTTAAATGCTATTTGGTAGCAATACATGTAGTTAGTCACAATAAAAATCAAATGTTTATTGGAAAAAATATATAAAACATATAGTACAAGTCCTCTGTTGTTGTTTTATTGTTATATGTCACCAAAAGCAATTTTAAACGTCAACTGAATTAGTTGAACTGCAGTGAGTTTCTAAAGCATGCCACATTACTTAATAAATGTGTTAAAATGGAACAAAAACGCAGACCGAACAGAAATATTAGCAAAGTCTCACCAGTTTGAAAGCAGCTTAGAGTGCAGTTAAATCCATGAGTTAAGTGTAGAAACCTGTAACTATGTATGGCTGAGCATCAATAATGCAAATTAAAACACATTTGAAGTTTAGACATGCAGGTCCGGCGCCCGTCTGCTGCTTGCATTGCTTGCCATTGATGTTTTGCAGTTGGAGGAAGGTGGTCTGGAGTTGGGTCTGGATCCTGAGCTGGAGTCATCCAGTGACTCTGGGGTGGACGGCCGGCTTTGATGTTTGTCATCTGATTTTGTCTGTGTTCGAGTGGCGGGAGGTCCACTGCTGCCTTTTGCACCCTCATATGAGTCAGTGTCAGAGCTTTTACCCTCCAACACTGTGGAGCATTTGAGAGAGCTGTTAGCCCTCCACAGCCTCCTCGTCGCACTAACCGGCAGCGTGGGGTAGGAGGAAGTGTGAGCTGCCTTCTGTGGGCCTTTTGGAGAGTCTGGGCTCCCTCTCTCACTGCTATCATCCTCCTTACTGTGTGCGGGAGGATGCAAGAAGTCCTCAGTCTCCTGCTTTGGATTAATCAGGGACTTGCAGCACGGAGAGCAGGGCTCGTTGGTAGTCGCGGGGCAGTTGCAGTCCGGGGGGCTTCGAGCTGAACATCTGGAATCATCCAGATCCTGCTGAGTGGCCAGTTCGCCCTGAAGAGGTAGAAAGGTTGCAGGTTTGATAAGGTTTGGGTACATAATTGTGCCCTGCGCCCTTTCCATCAAGAGGTTGTAATCACTGGGTGCAGAGGCAATCGTTGCCTTTCGGGTTGCACCGCCGCACATTTGTACAACAGATTCTTTCTTGTACTTGTTGGCATAGTAGTCGTCAAGTTCGTCTCTCTCGTCTCTCAAGTGAGGGGAGAAGTCCAAGATGCCCTTTTTAATCTTCTTGTAACCTAGATGCATGATCTCCAGGATGTTTAGGAAGAGGGAAATCGCAGCAATGCATTGCATGAACACCATAAAGACACTTTTCTCTGTTGGTCTGGAAACATAACAGTCTACTGCGTTTGGACAAGGATCCCGCTCACACTTGAAGAGCGGGTACAGGTGGAAGCCGTAAAGGAAGTACTGGCCTGTCATGAAGATCACTTCAACGACAGAGCGAGTAAAAATGTGAGCCACATAGGTGCGCAGCAGTGAGCCCCTCAGAGGAGCTTTGTTAAGCTTCCCCTGATCAAGCTGCTTCATTTCACGCTCAATCCTCTTCCTGGCTTCTGCCAACTCCACATCGACCAACTCCAGTTCCTTCCGCAGCAGAGCCTTCTTCTTCTGCCGTGTCTTCTCCAGCGCCCGCAGCCTGTAGAGAGCGTGGCCCATGTAAACCAGCGAGGGAGAAGACACAAAAATAACCTGCAACACCCAGTAGCGAATGAGGGAGATCGGGAAAGCAAGGTCGTAGCACACGTTTCTGCACCCGGGCTGCTCAGTGTTGCATATGAAGTCAACCTGCTCGTCATTCCACACATCCTCAGCCGCCACCCCAAGGACCAGCATACGGAAGATGAACAGGATGGTGAGCCAGATCTTGCCTACCATAGTGGAATGGATATGCACCTCCTCCAAAATCCCCCCAAGGAAGTTCCAGTCCCCCATCTTCACTCTGCCATTTTGACTGGAGAGAAATAATTAAGGAAGAAACCATTTAAAACCTCTTAAAACTGGTATCTTTAAAGATAATAATACAATGAACATGCAGTAACAAGACATTCAGTAAATGCATATTGACAATAATAATAGCTTATCAGATTAAATGAACACGATATACAAAATTGTAGTAAACCACCAAAAAGTGCAGAAAAATAGTGAGAAAAAACAACAGAAGTATCAAAAAATGACAGTACCTCTCAGTTGGAAAAATTAAACAGTAACAAGTAGAAAACTAGAAGTAGACAGAGAGGACTTGTGCATCCACTGATATGTTAGCTTGACTGCTCAGCTATCCAGTTTTTGTCTTAATAAAGCCATTCCCCTCAGCAGTGCCATTATATAAACCAGGACAGAGCTCGGCGCATTTGCCATTTCCATTTACCTTGCAGCAGCATAGACAGACTGCCGGTGGTGACTTAAATCTCCTCGGGTCATGCAGTCCTGACACAGTCACCAAAAAAGTTTTTAAAAATCGTTAGTGCCCTCCACATGGGTCCCTGCACAACCCCCCAAACTTCAGTGACCCGCCTCGGCTTCTGTGTTACCAGAAACAAAGAGGGAACAACTGAGCCGCAGAGGGAAGTTTGCCAACACTACTCTGACCACACAAAGTCAATACCAACAGCTTCAGTGATGCATTTAGATCATGGCCTCACAGTGATGGGGTTGTAACCAGTTCTAAAACAGATATTGACCTCAGTGTTTGCAGGTCAGGCCTTTTTTTATCTTTTGTCAGGATCATTCAGACCGCTTTTACCTTTTTCAAAATGGAAATGCGGCTTGCATTCAACAACAAAGATGATAACTCGCTGAATGTATTTTTTGTGATTCATTTGGGTGTGTACATTAGGTGCGGGTGTAAATAGCCAAGCTGTTTCCAAACAGAAGCTTTGCCAAGTCCAGACTACAAGCATAGTATTTGTTAGCACACATTTGTTGAAGTCTGTTTGCTCCATATGTACAGTGAGGGACAGTCACTGTGTTTGGAATCCCCACATTATCGATACCAGTCAGTTATCCACACAGGCCTTATACGATCAATAGTTGGCTCCTATAGTGAAGCAGTCAATGAGTCGTCATGTCCGATTTCATACTCTGCTGCTCCTCTCTGCGTGTAATGTACTTTACTCATTATTTTATTCCCTTTACAAGAAATCTATCACAGTGGATTAGTGTGCTTGCCAACTTTACACAGTCCAATTTTAAATACCTTTAAATGCCTCTGTTATAAATACGCTTGTTAACTGAGGTCAGTCATGATATTACAGCTTCATGCCCATCATATACATTTTTATTCATTGTTATATTGTTCTTTAGCTAAGATAAACTATCGACAAGAATGTGAATATTTTTTATTAGAGAAAAGCAAACTGCTCCCCAAAGATTCAACCCACCAGCTCAGTGCAAGATTTTTTCCACCCGTCTAACTAATTTAATCCTAAAATGAACTTTTCCACTCTGACCTGAAATCTGTCGTTCTGCCCAGCAGAGATGGATTGATTGAAACCAGTCTAGTACAAACACATTAGGGGTACGGAGGGTCACACTGGGGCAACATATTGGGAAAATCACAATGCCATTTCCCCCTTTTTTTCCTGTCCAATCACTGTAATCAATTTTCACTTGTACTTCCGCCCTGGGACGTCCTCTGGCTTATTGCCTATTTACTGTTTAAAAGAAATTGTAATAATTTTGGTAGAATTTTGTGTCTGAAGTCTTTTCTTTCAACACAGCATGAGTTGAACTAGGATTCTAGACAAATATTTTCCACTCAGTGTGTTTTGCTTTTAGTTACTGATGTTTGACCTTTACTGTGCAGAATGACATACGTGCAGAGGTTGATATTAAAAGGCTGAGTTTAACACATGTACCTACAACCATGATTCGGTGACACAACAACTAGTCTTACATACAGTTTATAATTGTGTCAGTACTCATTATCATCCATATAAAATAATTGTAAAAATATGATTTTATAAGGATAGAATAAATGCATACATACAAAATAAAGGAGAGAAAAATTGAAATCTAAGAAAAGGAGCAGATAAGGCAGTATACATATTTGTATAGTCATAGATTCAATATTTTTCAATGAAGGAATTAAAGAATTAATGCCAATAAAAATGTAAGATTAGTTTATTGAACTTATTTTGTGACAAAACCATATCAGACAAATTATTATTTTTATGTCATGTTGAGGGAAAAAAGAAGCATTGCTGGTCTAAAAGAATAAAATAAAATAATTGATATGAATATTTTATACAGTTGTTCATTTGGCTTAATGAACTGCAACCTTTTATGAAGTGCAAGACCCCCAGCTGGTGCTGTATCTTGTTTTTAAGACCTTTGGGCCTAACTACACCAAATAAAGAAACCCAAAGTGTTATTTTCAGTATTTTACAGCATGTTGCCCTTTAACTCTTTAATATGATGAAATAAATAATACATTATATAAATAAACACTACAGCAATGACCACTTAGAGGCAGATGTTTAATTCAATACAGAAAAAGTGAAACCTTGCGGATGTTGACGTTTCAGCAGTACCGTCTAATAACATCAGATTTTTCGACTGCTGTACTACATAAATCAACATACCATTTCCCAATGTTTCACAGTCAAGGCAAACAAGCTCATGATAATTGAATATTGATGCCCTCAGTTATATTGATGAGCCGAGTTTAGAAACTATGGAACTTTCCATACTGTAAAATAACAAAAAGAACAGTCGCTTTCATACAGTCCCCACCAAACAGCAGACTGCTGCACACACAGGGTTATCTGTTATTGAAAATGAATTGGACAACCATTGCAAATGTAGTCTTTACTCTGTATATATTCATCAGACAAAATCAATACTCTCATCCTGCTTCTGCAGAAGTTTAGATTTGAACAAAAAATATAAATTTCATTAAAAAACATACGTTAAACATTGATCTGTGGAAATACAATAAAAAACAAACATGCAAGGTCTCTGTTTGGTCTTTGGTCATAGTTTACCTCTAATCTTAGATAAATGAAGTATTATTATATTATTTTCTAAAATAATATCTGTTCATGAATTACAGCCAAACAACAAGGGATATTAAAGAGGTTTAATTTATAGACTTACTGAATAGAAACTGTACTGTTACTAAACCATAACTTACATCTAACGTTCAAACATTCCCTTCAGTTAAGTAGGGGAATTGTATGATATCAACCAGTTTATTTTTACTAACAAATTAAAGTAGACTGTGTTTCCAAAAGCTGGATGTTTGCAAAGTTTGTTTTTCCAAGAATACTAAAACAGTAAGTACGAGAGAAGATTGAATAAACAGTTTTACAACATGTAATTAGCCACGTCCTATCAACAGGATGTGACTGAAACAATAATGGGGCATTAAGCCAAGGCCTGATGGTAAACCAGCTCTTTTGCTTACAAAAGGAAAGGACAACATTTTTGACATTCATCCTTTTTTTCCTGAGAAGAGAAAGCTCTGTGAGGGTGAGGGATTTCACCACCTTTAAGGCACATTTCATGAATACTGAAAGTCCCTAAGAGTCCATGATAGCATAAAATTATTCATATGCAACAGTCTGCGCATTGTTTTCTGTTAAAGAAAAATACATAAAATAGGACCAATGTCTTCATTGATTTCCTGATACTCATGAAAAGTACAAAAATATATAAAAACAAAACAGTCAAACACAGAATCATATCTGGGATAAGAGACATATACGTTACAGTCAGTGTAAAAAATGTGTTTGATTCAGTTCAGTAAAATTATTAATGGTTTAAAGGTACGTTTTCCTCAACATTGTCTAAAAATGAAAATATGCCTTTTGCAATGCTACACATAAACAGCAGGAGGCGCCCTTCTACTTCAACTCACAAATCTTCAGCCCTAAATAGAAGAAATAAAATAAAAACCCTGTGCACTACATTCACAATGTTCCCAAAAATCAGCTTTGCTCTGAAACACATCAGTAAAAATACAGCTTCCTGAGTGACATTAAGGCTTTTGGTGTTGACTTTTAAAAAGGTTAGTGAGTGCAGCTTTATTCCCTATGATGCTGGGGTGAGGAAGATGTTGAAGAGAACAGCAAAAAGCACAAACACTATATAGGCCACTATACACAACCAGAAACGTGGGTCTTTGAGTAGCTTCTTGTTGTAAGCGCTGAAGAAGACGTAGCCGACGGTCATCCCGGCCACAATTCCTCCAAAATGAGCCACAAAGGACACCTTTAGAGGAGAGAAGGTGAAGTCAGGTTTTGGGCTTAGCCTGTAGGCCTAATTACACATGTTAAACTGAGCACAGACCCTCAACTACTGTCATCCGACCTCACTGAAATGCTTTGAACAACACCCAAAAAACTTGCAGGTCCAGTTTAACAGCCAAAAGAAGGGAGATAACAAGGTGGGGGAGGGGATGAGGAGGTTTTTTAGAGTGTGTAGTAATCAGTTGGAAAGACTTTTGGTGAATGGAGGAAGATACTGTGCGCTTTCAGTTTTATTTGTACTTTAAATTGAAACTACTGAGTCAAAGTACAAGGCTCGCCATAGCTCAATGTGGATTACTGATTCAAAAAAAGAAGCAGGTTATATGGAAAGTGTATTGGTTTTCTTTGTCCATTAGTACGTGCCCTTACACACAGGTATGTATGCGCATGAATCAAGTCCCAGCAAGAGCTGCTGATCTTGTCTTTTGAGACAGACAAATTAAATCCATCACCAAACACTGTCAGCTTGGGGGAGGTTAGCTGGATTAGCAGGATCCCTCCTTAGGCCCCTTATTTATCTGAAAAGGTTTAGCAAGACTAGCTTTGTTTGTTTTTTTGTTCTGCTGAAGTCATCTACTGTACAGGGGAAGGAAAATCATACATTGAAACCAGCCTCGTGCATGACAAATCTTCTGTAGAAGGCAAATCCAAAATCTGTGCCAACTGGAGAAAGAAATTAGAGGTAAATGTTAATATTTTAAAAGTATTATCACAGCAGTTAAAAAAATAACAAAATAGGTTAAAAACACACACATACCAAATATCACTATGGCGAGGATACGAAATGCTCCAAGGAGAGGAATCATCTCTCGGAAATTCTGTGAATTGAAACACCAACTGTAAAGAACAATAAACTAATACTTTAAAGTACAAGTGCAAGAAAAAAGCCTGAAAACACATTGAAAACAATCAAATGGTACTCTCCTTGTGGTGCTCAAAGCGCCAAAAAACACATTTTCTTTATGTGTCATGGACGAGAGGCTCACACTCGTGACAGCACAGGTTGTAAACATTAATGACATCCATCTGAACAGCAATGTTAGCTAGCTCACTTAGCACCACTAAGATAGCCATGTTCAGCAGCTACGGTTGGTGGGTGTAGTTCGGTAGAAAGAAAATAGTTCCTACATAAAACTGCTCACAATAAGATCTGTGGAGTTTCTAAAAAAAGAGACATTATTGCTGAGTTTCAAATCTTTTTCTTTTTTGGCGCTTTGAACACTACAAGCCGAGTGCCTTCTGGTTCCATTATATTGGAGAGACGGCAGGCATCCGTGTGGCTGATATCTCCAAAACTCACACCAAAACAAGACGGATAAATAGCACCACGGCTTTTGATTTTGGGGTGTACTGTCAACCTTTAAAATGTATGTCAACTTACCACCACTGCGTTCATAAAATAGCCTCCTATTAGGGCGTAAACACCCCCAGAAGCTCCCACCAAAGCACTGAGAGGATCAAAGATGGAGCTGCACAAAGAGCCTGAGGGGAAACAGAAATGATCAGTTTTGTTCTGACAGCCCAGACGAGTTAGCATTAGATGTATGTAGAGTTCTGACAGCTGCTTTTGTAATGACAGAGCCTGTAACTGTGCCATACTAACTGTTTCTGGGGATGCTCACCTGCCAGGACGCCTGCCATGTAAACCATTCCCACCTCGAATCCTTTGTGGACCAGCTCCAGTGGGATGCCCAGCACTAGCTGCACCACCAGGTTGCCCACAATGTGCTCCACACTAAGAAGGCAGAGGTGGGGAATGAGCAGATAATACTCGACCATGGTGGGACAAAATAACAGAAACACCTTTAACCCTGCAGTAAATATCAGGTGTTGACTCAATTTGATGGGTAAATTACAAACAATGTAGGGAATTCTAAAGGGTAAGACCAGTGTCTCTCTATTGTTTTGTACTGTAAACAAATGCCATGATAATTTTTTTTATTTTATTTTTTTATTTTGCATTTTATATTGCTTTTTTTATATATATAAATGTCTAGGTTGTTCTCCTTACTTATTGTGTGTTACTGTTGTTAGCTGTGTGTAATGCTGCTTGCTACACTGCAATTTCCCAGCTTGGGCTCAATAAAGCATATCTATCTATCTATAAGACCACAATGCATCAACACTTACCTAACCCTCTTGTGGCAGGTCCCAAATAGATATTTCTTTTAATAACAATGTTTGTTGTTGTTGTTGTTGTTGTTGTTAAGGACTATTTTCAGCTACGAATTAAAACACACGGCGCACTAGTGCGTACTTCTGGCAGCAGGACAGTTTATGGCACTGACTCAAGAGAAACTACAGTGAATGTGCTCATTGTAATCAAGGAACAAGGTGCAGCTAATTTGCGTTTTTAATAGTTTTTGGACAACAATGATCTACAGCACAGAGGAAGAGGGTATATCTGGATGCTCAGAACAATCAATTAATTGTTGGTTTTGGTCTTTTCATAGGATTTATTGACTTATTGAGGAAAATACAGAATCACCAGCCTTATCCTTTGAGCAAATATCCTGTTGCGTGTCCTTTAGTTAGTGTTGGCGAGTGACTGTGGCCACTGTTCCTCTTTACTAATCCAGTTTTCTGTGTAGTCATGATTTTTTAAACAGTTTGCTTGCCACATCACGTGACTTTGCAGTGTTTTGACAGGTGTGCCAGCTATTCAAGCAACTCTTTCCAAGAAAAGAGTATCCAGCTTCATATGACTCACCAACAGTAACGCAGCAAAGGGGGAAGTTTCAAAATCATGACGACATATGCCAAACAAAGGAACGCTGTAAGAAGCAAACAAGTGCAGCCTCCAAAATGACCACAGAACTGAATCAACAACTCTGACAGCCTCAAAAAACCCACAAAAGATTATGAGCTTCTGTGGGAATTTGTCCACTGACTCAAGCTTCCATCATGCAATTAAGGCATCTAAAAAAAGCTCTGTCAATGCTTACCCGGCGTGGACAAACATGTAGGAGACAAAGCGCCATGCTTCCTGCCGGCACTCAGGCTTGTATGTAAGGGGACTTTTCCAGATGCCTTCATCCAGGGTCACCCACTGCTTCTGAGGCTTCCACACAGCGTAGTAGATAAACACTGCCAACTGATGAACAGAATATACACATAAAAGTTAGTTAAGAGGTTCAAAACGTCAAATAATTTCCTTCCACAAAACTGCCTGCCTTTAAGTTCGGAGCCGCAGGGACGGGGGTAGAAGCTAAACACGGAACGGCTGAGAAAATAAAGAATGGAGGAATGATTTAGAAATACAGATGTGGAAATATGCTTAACCAACCCCAGAAAATCCCCCAGTGTGATCGTACGTTGCAGCTCAGATGTGTGAATGCCTGTATCTGTGGGAATATAGAGCGAGGCCACGCTGAGAAAGAACAGTGCGGCTCAGTCGATCTTCTCTGGGTAAATAAAGTGTCTCCTCTCGCCAATAACGACGTATTGACAGACATTCAAATGCAGTGACGTTGGACATCTGTGAGCTACAAAGAGTGAGCTGTTCAACCCAGAGTATGAATAGGCAGTGTGCAAAACACTCAGTGATAAGAGAGTAAAGCAGCAGCCTTCAACTGGGTCTGACAGCAACGTGGGGTCAACTGGCAAACTGACTTTAAACAGCAATTATGTACAGAGTTAATTTTTACAATGTTTTAAGCCTAAATGTATCCTAAAATAAACAATACACTTCACAATAATGTTATTTATTCTCTGTTTATATACCATAGGGGTGATTTACTGTTGTTGACAAATACATAAATAACGGTAACACAATCTCCATCAACTAGTGGCCTATTAGCATTCATAGTAGTAGCATACTGTTTGTTTGTTTGTCATTATTAAGCACTTATTAATGCTTTATTCTGCATGACCATACTCTATATATACTACTAGGCCATTAACTAAGAGTTTCCCCTCAATGGCCTCCTAATTACTGTGTATTTATAGTAAATAAGAAAGATGTTGTACATGAATTATGATATTTGCTATTTTCTCAAGAAAAGCCATTCTTCTGTAATAACACTTACAAAAACACAAAAGGCTAATGGCAGCGAACAATCTGTAACTGGCCAACAATGTCCAACACAAAGAAGGCACCTTAAAATGCAGTTGTCAACAAAAACCGACCATCTGCCCACAAGTATCTGTGTATTCTGGAGTGAAACCAAACTTCCTACAGTTTGTTTAACATACAGGCAATCGCACATTCCTGGTGGCATTAAGTTAAAGTCATAATAAAGGCTGTAATAAATAACATAGCCATGGTTTTAGGGGATCCCCCTACTTGATCTTTCAACAAATTGCCAACAGTTCCTCCAGACATTCATTCACATTCCTGCAGATGTATTTACCTGAATCTACAGTCAAAAGGCCCGGTGGCTTTCTGTGTATACATGCAGGAAATGCATCTCAGCGGTAAGGATCAACTGTACCGCGCTCTAACCTAAAGCTACTGCTCATGAAAACTACTGTTTTCATTGGAACCGTGCCTACTGCCTGCTAGCGAGGACTGCACTTAATGAATCAGGACATTCAGAGGAGGCGGCGCAGATGCCAAAAGAGACAGAAAAACAGAAACTAACGCCTACGGCTGCACAAGAGCTTCACAGTTTCAAAGCGTGGTCCTTTTCAAATACGGCAGCTATAAACAGTCAAATTACACTATTATTTCCCTTAACGTCATGGTATAACTTCACTTCAATATCTGCTCTACTAAATACAGCTCATCTAAACCCTAATTAACAACACGGCAGCATATGAGCCAAATAGGCTGCGTGTATTAATTAGATCCAATAATGATCCCCCGCAGTGCTCATACAACATGTGTGTGCTGTGTACATTCAGGGCATAGCTACCTCTGCCATACTGATGAGGATGATGAAGATGGGAGGTGGGCAGCAGTTGGCCCGTTCCACGTACTTGCTGCGGATGTGCTCCGGAAGCATCCATTTGGAGACAGACTGGTGGAACTTCTCACAACATCCCATGTTCCCGTCACCATCAGGCTCGTCCTCTTCGCCCCTGAACCGCCTCCCATCTCGGTCCACAGGAAACGGCTCCTCCTGCTCGAGGTCGATGTCACCCATCACCGCTTCGGTCCTACACAGCAGATTACATATGCTGACTTAGAGGTGGGCGAAATTACAATATATATATATACAAACTATACCTTAAGATGATATACATTTATCTTTTTTTACCATGGTAGCAGTCACTGTAGTTTCTCTGCTTGTATTTGGTCATTGTGGACATTGTCGTTGCATGTTATGGAAATATTGGATTTTAATATGATTTTTGCATTAATGTGATAAAATACATTGATTTTTCATCCCTGTTTGGTTATTTTAATCAATTAACAGTTGCATCATAGAGGTATTTCCAATATTTTGTCCACCAATTACTATCAATATTATAAACCTCCCTCTCAGTGTGATACAACACAGTTGAACAGTACCACAAATTACAGCCTCCCGCTATAAACTAACCAATAAGTTCAACCGACACTGCTGTAAAACAGAAGTTTAACATTAGAACCTTCATAAAGGGAGGAATTATTGCCGGACTGTTATTAGTTTTAGCCAGTTGCAGCTAATAAACCGGCAACTATTGTGGTGTGAAATTACAAATGACAAGGAATGCCTCCTAAAATTTCATTTTGCACATTTGCAATAGAAGTGTTTAAGTCTAAATACCCTCTTTTAGTGAGATCTTGCCTACGGAAAATGCACAAAAAGCAGAAGTTTTATACAAAACTCCATTAAACATGAATAGAATTACTTCCACTTTTTAGACTGGGGCTGAGATTTAACTGTTTTAATAATGTTTCCCTCAGTGGATATAACCTGACAGAGAACACAGTGACAGTACAATGAAGGAGCCTCTTACAGTTGACTGTTAGTGTTTCCTGTTTACTGGACGTTGCTGATGACAAATACTCTGATTTTCACTGACCCCTAGAATATTCAAATAAACTCTAGCTTGGTCTCCTCTCCATTTTGAAGTTTGCTAATATCTATTTCAGAGTTTAATGAATTCAGCCTTTGGCCTACTCACCTAACCCTTCAACAGGAAGAGTGCAGATGGCTCCGAGCGGTCCCGAACGCATAAATATTGATCCGACTAATTCAAATAGTTCAGTGTCCGGTCAGAAGAGTGCACAAGCTCACACACTTTACTAGACTACAACATGCAATACTGTACAAGTAACGCTTTCAGCACCATTCCTCCATATTTCCAGACAACCCCGGAGGAGTCCCTTCTTCAACCCGACCGTCCCTGTGAGGTCGGAAAAAAAAAAAGAGAGCACTTAGAGATAATTATAGCCCTTTCATTGCTTTTTCCTGCGAGAAACTTCCTTCCTCCGCCCCAAACAAACCGCTCATGTGCCCCCTTTCTTCCACACGACTGCGGCACTTTTACCGAAGAGCGGGAGATGACTGTACTGACGTCCGCGGTCCGCTGCACGAGAGCAACCCACCTGTTCGCCCGTGCCACACCTGAGACGAGTGACGTCACCGAGACAGAGCCTATCAAAGGCTGCAGCTTCACACACACACACACACAAACAAACAAACAAACAGAGCCCGGGAAAACCGCAATTAAAGCGACCGTCTTGAATCCACGGTGTCTTGTATTCAGGTGGATTATACAGCGTTTGATTCAGTAAAGTGCACCGAGGCTGAAGTCCCACTTTAATGTGAATGTTGCGTTACCTCACTTATACCACCAGGAGGCACCAGAGTCCACAATTAGTAACAATGGGATGACTTTAAGTGTTACAGGATGAAATACTGTGCATTTATTTGCAATCTTCATCATAGATCATGCGTTTATCATTACACAGAAGGGTTTAATCAAAATTATATTGCACTTATGAATTAGAAGATAGCCTACATCTTATGGGCCCTGTGAGAGAACTAAGTTATACTCATTAATTCATTTACTTTTCTCATAATTATAAAATGTTTAATTAGAAAAAAGTGCCACTGCAGTCTTCCAAAAGGAAAAAAGGGGAATACTTCAAATATTTTTAATGAAAATTTCCAAAACCCCCAAAATATTAAATTTATGACTGAAAACAAGGAGAAAAAGTGTTAATACTCTACACTGGAGAAGCAAGGTTGTGTGTTTTTGCCTGAATTCAAACAATTAAACATTATCAAAATAGTATTTTTCAAATAATTATAATTGCAACTTTTAAGCCAACAAAGTCCTTTAGGGGATCGGGGTAATTTCACATCTTAAATTTAAACATCTGTAATCTGAAATTGTCATTCAATTACAACTGGACAAACTTATCCTGCTGAGATCATGTGATTCAACAGCTGCAGAACCACCACTTACACATTTACCTTGTAGTGAGATTTGTCAACGACCCATACTGCCAAAAATGCATCCTTGTTTCAAGAACAAACATCCCAGACAACAGATTTTAATCACAGAACTTTTATTTTTTTCAAAAGGGAGAAAAATCCACATTCTCAGGTAAAGAGTTGTGAGGGGGAGAGGGGAGGGGAGGAGGGAGGGCAAGAAAAGTGGAACAATGTGAGAAGCAGGAGCCTTTAAATACAGCTGCTGGGAGGTTATACAGGATGATCACGTGAGCCAATAAGCTTTCTACAGCGCCGGCAAGAGATTTGACACAGATCTGCTTTAGTCAGGATTTCCAGAAAGAGTATATCAACAAGAAAAAGGGCAAAAAAAAAAAAAAAAAAAAAAACAAAAAAAAGAGTGGGCTTCATACACAGTTTATCTTTCAGATTCTTCTAACTTTTGGCCAGCAGCAATAGTTTCAAAGTAAGAAATCAACTTTTGGATTAAAAAGAAGATAAACCATGGCACCCAAACAGTTTTTAAATGGGGGGGAGGAGGAGGGGGGTTGGTAAATAAAATCCAAATCAAGTTGAAAGGGGGAAGTAGAAGAGCAGCCATCTTGTGAGAGGAAGCTGGGATCTCATCGATGTGAGTTCAGGAGACATCTGAAACACAAAGTGAATCACACTGTTAGAGGATCTGCCTTTTCAACTCAGAAAAAAAATATACGATTAAAGAAGAAATGTAGACTTTGAGACAGAATGTTTGTCTTTCTGAAGAAAATGGTGGTTTAAGATACTTACAACTAGCAGGCCGGGCTCCGTATCTTCGCATGATCTGGTCTTGTGTGAATTTCACAAAAGATTCATATTGTTCTGGAGAGAGAAAAAGATGGTGGTGAGGGTGAGTGCTGTAGATCAGGGCCAAGTCTACGTCCACACTGTGTCGCCTACTCTTTAAAACACAGTTTTCAGGTGGCAATGACGTGCGTCCATAATCAAGGACTTTTCGTGGATACCTTGGCCCACAAAGACACTCCTGCTAAATGTGTTCTTTGTCCTCTTTTCATTTGGCAAAATACAAAACAGAGCATTACAGTCAACATCTGGTGAGGCTGCTGAGTCTTACATATTAAACCTCTGTTCGGTCTCCTGCTCTCTGATCACTTAAGGCTGATTTATAGTTTACTTTGGCTCTACGTCGAGTCTACACTTTACCTACGCCATTATGAGCACTTATACTTGTGCAACGGTGTGTCTGTGTTTCTCTGTTGGTGGTGGAGTTTCTGTGCCACTGTGTTGAGTTTCGACTGACAAACTCTTTCGTATCTCCCTTCAATCTGTCTTGTGTTTTCCTTGCTTCTTTTTTTTTTTTTCCCTCTGCGCTGCCCGTGAAACAGAAGGATGAGGAAATACGAGGGAACAGACAATAGCATGTCATGCAGCGAGGCAGCGCCCCATGTGTGTGTTTGTGTGTAAGGAGGGCTTCTCAAACAGCATTAACTTATCTAGGTTTTGCACCAGTCGCTTCCCATTGTCAGACAGACAATGTACACACACACACACACCGCAAGAGGACCAATCACAGTTGCTGTGGTTTGCGACGTCTAGTTACATTTCTAGGGAGGCATAGATTTGACACTGAAGTATAAAATCAGGCTTTATACTGTGTTTAAATATGGCCAAACTTCATCTACAGTTTTCTGTTTCAGAGTGAACATTCCCAAGCTGCTGTGCTGATCAGACCTGTATTTACGATTGGGACGTCTGACAAAATCAACATAAATACAGCTTAATGACTGCAGCTGTACAGGGCGATTGGCTATATTGACATTCACAATAAGTCATCACAGAAAAAGAAAAATCCAAAGCTGATTTTCTAATTTAGACTACTAGACGAGAATACACTTTTGCTTCACCTTCTAAACAAAATTATATCATCTTTATGTTCCCTGTCCATTTACGGTCTTGGCATCTAAAAGCATATATAAATGCTGAGGGAAGCATGGATGCCAGCACTGCAGAAGTTATCAGTTATGGTATGAAAAGATACTCATAAGGGAGAGAACAGGATGTTTCTCATTACACAGAGACAATTTCACTGTACTTCACTGCCAAAATGTAGAAATAAAATCTGCTGTCCAGATGAATTGTGTATTTTATATTCAAAGAGTCGTGTTTATTACCTGCGAGTTTTGTGTTAAGGATTTGTTCGTACTCCTCCCGGATCTTCTCCTCGTGGTCTTTGAGAAGTCGCTCGCACAGGAAGCTCACCTGCTTCAGTGTAAACGAGGGCTGATCCTTCCTTGAGGCACCTGAGCAACACAAAATCAGATCTGCTATGAAAAAGGCTGAATCACTCACATCTGTGGGCGCAGTGATAAGTCGCAGAGACACAAATGTCCTCTCTCCAAAAATAGGTGCTCGGCCAGGTGCAAACGCACAGCTTTGCTTTTCGCCGTCCCCCACCTCTGTGATCTTACATGGTCATGCAGCACTAATGTGGGCCATTTCTCTGAGTCTCCCCTAATGTCTCTGTCTCGGTGCAACTGGAGCCAGCTTTAGCTAGGGGTCTCTTTACCCAGTGGTCTTCGAGGTCCGCTATGAGCCATTTAAAATGTTTGTAAATCACCAACGAGGACGGCGGGGCATGAAGGTTTAATGGGCGTCTCAGAGACAGAGAGAGGCCGGGTCAGTAACAGTGCAGTCAGTGTGATCTATGAGACCATCCTGCAGCGTGAGAGGGAGAAACACTGCAGCCTGAAGGCCTGGGGCTTGGATTACATCTCGCAACCCTAACTTCCAATTGTGCTTGAACGCATCAAACTGCACCACTATTGCTGCAGCACAAGTATGTTTCTAAGGAGGAGCAGAAGCAAAAAAGGTACCAATGATGAACAGTAATGTATGCACACGTGTAAACAAAAGATGAACTAAAACAAACGGTAAATCCACCACAATCTACGCACATTTCTGGTGCCAGCGCAGTAAGTAAACGATGATTTCTGTATGTTTATCCAGTAGAAAACTATAAACTTATGTGTGTATGGACTGCCATTTGGAAAAGGAAATAAACTTCTCTGAGGATGATTCTGTGTCAACCACCAAGAATTCACGTGTCATGTGGATTTATTATCTGGTTTACAGAGAAAAGACTAGTTCTTCACAATATCACTATAAATGTAAATGATTCCACTTTCTGCACTCGATGCGAGTTTGGTTTGTTATCCCTTTAGATACGATGAAGCATTTAAGCACCGTTTATTATGAGTTCCATCTGAAACGCATCGATCACGTGTAACAGCAAATTCTGATTTTCAGGAATTTCAAGAGGGTACAACTGAACTGGGACGAGAAAGGCATCTCCATTACAGAAGTGGGTTGGATTTGGCACAAACAACTACAAATCTTTCACACACACACACACTCACATCTGGAATCACAATCCCTCTGCCCATGTGATTGTTTTGATGAGCAGCAGTAGCCTGCCTCTTGAGACTTGAGTTGGTCATGCAGGTCCAGCCAAGGGTCTTTTGGCAGGCCTTGCAGAATGAATGACCTTATCATTCGTAACTGATGTTGGGGTGACTGCGCAGACCTAAACATGGCTTACAAAAGACGTGATTCTGTTTTTGATGTCTGAGTTGGCTGTCACTTCAATGTTGTAGGACTTGCTAACCAGAACAAAACAAAGCAGACATGTTATTTGATCACCTGTATAGCAGAAGTACAATACCGTCCTGCGGCTCTCAGAATAACCCAAACTGATCTAAACACGTCTAAATGCACTGAATAGAGAGAGGGGCAGTCGGACCTACATAAATCAACCGCTGCCCTTACAGAACACGTTTTAACATGTGGTTCGATTGGGGGAAATCATGTTAAACCCACATTAGAGCTGTGCATGACCAGAAGACACGGCCTTTGGAGTAAAAGCCAAACAGTTTATGTGTGTGCACGGCAAACAGTAAATTCTCCTACCTGGTGGGGAGCTGGGAGCGTTGAGGGAGGAACTGGGGCTGGGGGCATCACTGGAGCTACAGGCCTCGGTCTGGTTGAAGGCCCCTTCCAGCTGCCGCCGCCTCTGGATCCGGCTGTACTCCTGACGGAGGTTCTGGAAGATCTGCTCTGTAGGGAGAAAACAGAAACAAGGACAAAAAGTGTGAAAACCAGGACAGAGAACACCCAAACATGGCGACTCTCTCACAGTGACGGGGTGTGAAGGAGCAGCTTTACGACGGCTGTATTCTACAGGACATTTTCTAACCATTTGGCCTTTGAGGGGCTGAAAAGTACGGTGAAAATAAAGATATATCTGGAAACAGTGTTCAGAACCTTTGCTTCTTGTACTACTAAACCTTAAACTGGTTACAGAAAGAAAAATTACAGGTTTTCAAAAGTAAAATGGAAATCTAGTTGTCCCAGAATATTGCTGGATATTCAATGACTCAAACAGTGATTCATTATAGGAATGAAACAAACAGTATTATCACTACATTAGTCTTTGAAGTGTGTTCTTTCAGTACTACATGCACAAAATATTAGACGGTGTAACTACAGCTATGCTCAGTGCCATCTCCCACCTGACACGAGTTACCTAAAAACACGCTAATCGACAGGAAGTAGAGGTGTGACAGACTGACATTAGCAACAAACAGTCGAGGAGGAAAGTGAACATCTAGCAGCCACTCGATAGTAAATCATTATTTTGCATCTGAAGTCTACCAGCCATTTCATATTTGAACAGCATTTGTCACTACAGCTGTGCCCCACAACAACACACAACACAACACCACACAAACAACACCACTTTCTGATCCTGCGTCTGCGAATCCTTTCACTTCCATTCGAAAAGTTTTAATGACGTACAATAAACTGCTGACGGTTAAGGCTGTAACATAAATCAGTGTTCTTTTACTACGCTGTAACAAAATAAAGCCTCATTCTTCTGAGGTTTACTGGGTGAACAGATGTTTGGGGTGTAAACTGACCCGTGACATACTAGACTATATAAAATAGGACATTACTTCTCTCACTATATGCTGAACCTGATTACTCGTGCTTCTGGCTTAACTGACAGGTGTTAAGTACAGCTAGTTGGCAGCTACGTATTGTACAGGTACTGCCTGGATGAATCATGCCAATTCATATGATAATCGCCCGTTCCCGTTTTCCTAAAAGGCCAAAAACTACATGAACTTAAGAAGATTATCTGCAGTTACATGAAGGGTGTACAAAAAACCGTTGTTAATCTTTCTAATCTCGTTAATCTACCTGTGTTTGGTAGGTAATTGTTCATCCGGGGACGTAACTGAGAACGGCTTTCTTCTTTTGTAAATAAGGGCAGAAATCAAACCAGAAATTGGCACCAAAGCGCGCATGTAAAAAAGCAACAATTACACAACACTGTTAACCAACATCAGGTCACAGTATTGTGGGGGCAGTGAGTGAAGATTTCGCTCTGCAACACAACAACAATCATCTGTTTTGGTGTCATATTGCCTGTGATAACACATTAAAATGTATGTACAGCTGGCTCAACACTGACTTCAACTGTCCTTGATGGATGAAAGAATTATTAGTTGTAACTTAATTTTTAAATAAACATTTAAAATCACAAGTACGGGCCTAAAAAGTCAAAGAAAAGTCATACAGGCGCTGCAAATACATAAAACTACGACTGGTTGTCGCCTTATCACTTCAAATGTTTCCTCCTTAGGATCAACCCTCCGCTTCCCTGCAGTCCAGTGTCAAAACAGCTTAAACACTGAGCGCACACACACACACACACATCCAATTATAAGGTTAAAAGTTCAAAAAAGTCCTGGGAAAAAAAAAAAACAGCATGGCCTCAACCAGAGCTGATAACCAAACGTTAAGGAGGGACTTTATCTGGCTCGATTCTTTCGGGGGGGTGAAGTCTCTACACGTGTTTCACTTCTATCAGGGGAACCGTGCTTCATTTATCTTGGGTGGGGAGGAAGCGGGGGGCCACGTCGCCACCTCAGCCTGCTCATCGGTGAGGACAGCAGGAGCTTCTCTACAGAGCCATTTTAAGAAAGCACGTTACATGTGGTCATGCCTTCATGGAGACCCCTCCTCCTCTTGCTGCATGTGGCCTCAAGTATTAACAATAGAGTACCTTAATCTGACAGGCTCTGTTTGTTTAGCTACCGCTGCAGAAAAAGCACTAAAACAACTATTAGACTGAGAGAAAAGTGATCGACAAAGTAATTGATCAAGGACAAATGCAGAATACTCTCAGATTCCAGTCTAAAGTCTGTGTTTGCCGCTTTTTTGCACAAAATATCTGGAAAACCGTGCAATCAGAAGAGCATAAGGAGTGGAGCTAAAAAGATTATTAATATGAAGTTACTTAGACACAGAAAAGCAGGACTCATATGTGTGTGCGTGTGCAGGAGACAGAGGCAGTGTGTCTCTTTACTTTCATTTTGCGTCTCTTGTTTTGTTATTCTTCGAAGGGTGGGGTGCAGGGTTACAGATCTCGCCACCTCCGCTTGCCAATTTCCTGGGGGAAACCCTGTATTAGAGATGGGAGCTCAACGTGAGCGTCGTTTAAACAGAGACTGTGTGAGCAACACAGAGCAAAATGCCGGCTCCAGAGATAACTAAAAACTAAACTGTACTTCTGTGCAATCTGATCATTTAAACTAGAGTTGTAGACTTTAGTCAACCTCTGATTAAAGCGGTTTGAATGTGCATCTTCTGAATGCAGTTACACCACTTTTCATTTAAACCAAACGCAGTCGATTCAAAGACTCGAGGTAGTGGAAAATGTCGGACGCTCACTGTTGGTGGTCGATTACTACTCTTCGGTACAAGGGACGAGGGAAAATCCTCTCCTGCTGTCTGTCACTTCCAGCTCCGCCAGCTCCTCGTAGCTCAACCGTGGGCGTTGCCTGGCAACAATGACCCTGCCACAACCAGGCCAAGCAATCAATCACAGAGACTTCCGGGAGCCACGGGAACGCAGCGGAGAAAGCCTCGGCTAAAAGGCTTAGGCACAGGCCAAATAGTGAATACGAAAGGGGAGATCGGCCGGCTAGATTGGACGTGGTGGTGGAGAGAAAACAAAGCTGACTCATTTCTTTTCACTAAACGATTGTTGGGGGGTTTGAATGTCCCAACTGCCAGGAAGTAGCTGGTGATGCATTATGGGTCAGTTCAAGTTGCCTTCTGCGGTAAAGTGACCGGTGTTAGTTTAAAGAATAGCAGAAATAGGAAATAGCAACTGAACACTATTAGACGGCTGTAAAGTCGTTGGTTAGTGAAGAATAAATTATTTCCGGATGCGTTTGATTTTGTTTAATCAAATCTGGTTGGACTGGTTGTCGCTGTGATCCCGAGACGTGAAGCTGAAATACACAGAAATTTAACTAGCAAATATGAAACGACGGAGACTGGTTGGCCAGTGGAGATTTTGTGACAGTACTGTAGTAGCTATTCCTATATCCTCTATATTTATCATTAATGTGATGAAATGTCTTGATTGATCAGGTATTCAATTCCCTGGATACGTTCTTGAATTCCCAGAAACTAAAGGACTAATATCACCATTTCGAGGGCTGCACTCAGTGAAGAATATAGAGTTACATTTGAAAATGAAAAAGCACTGGTGGCGGATCTGTAGGAAGTATCAGGAGAGTAGCGATGGCTCAATTAAATTCTGTATACAACGAGGGAAGGTTTCTCTGTATTGATCATTTCTAATTAGCGGTACGGGATCCATCGTGGCCCTTTCACCAAGAGCTTCCTGACCAGACAACATGCAAAGTTTGGCCCACGACGCTTCAACAAATGGTTTTAAGTCTGAACGATGACCCGCACACTTTTAGGTAACGTCACGTGCCAGGAAAACACCAGACTAACTGTACCGACTGGGAATTTTACAAAAGTGCAAGCCCGGACTGGCAGCACAAGAATGAGACGGAGGAGAACAGGGAGGGTGACCCTTCCCACATTGTGAAATCATTACCCAAAGATACCACGGCGGTGTCAGTTCTCCGTGTCTCGCCTGCACACACAGCCTTGCTCACCACGAGCAAACCTGACTAGCTGGAAAGCCTGTGTGGGTACAGACAGGTGGGAGGGATGACAGCTGACCTTTCGCTAAATACAAAACTGCTTTCACTTGGCAAACCACAGCAGAAAGGCAGGCTCGCGGCACCAGTCCCACGAGGGGCCTCTTTCTGGGTGAAGGTGAGTATAATACCTTGTATGTGGACCTCATGTCTGCAGCAGACAAATCTACACTACTTCACCCGTGCAGCTGCAGACAGACCCTGAAAGAACCCACAAGGGGGACCGTGAAGTCCAGGCTAGATAAGCAAGGCCAAAGCAGACAACCTGGGGGGAAAAAAGCAGATACTAATGATTTATTTTGTGTACTAACATACACAGCTGCACTATGAATACCACTCAGTCAGATTGCAAAAGGGTGTGAGCAGTAACAGGGGCTAGAAAATGTGTCTTCACCTCCAGGAATCTGCAACGGAGAGGAAGTGTCTGCATCTCCGTAGAAACAAAACCCTTTAAAATCATTATAAATCTTTTGGTTAACCAGGATGAGAGTTACACAGTTAACCAGAAGCAGAAATAAATACATTTCACACGACGCCAGCTGTGACTGCGTCCCCGTCGACACCTACATTTTTGGGTGTGCTCGTGGTCTCTGCAAACCTCCCCTATGAGCTATGTAGCATGTTTTCTTACTGTGCAGGGAAAAAAAACAGGAACGAGGACTGTGAGTCGTCTTATGTCTTAATAAATGACGCAGGAGGCATATTGTGCAAACTGGAAGTATGTGGGCTCTTGTTGGTTTGTTTTAATGAAAATAATCATTATGCAATCACATTTTCATTGTTCAGGTAACTCGGGTTATTCACCTCAGGTAAATCGTCCACGGAGAGAGCCGGCTGAAACCTGCTGAGGGAAGATGCTGCTTTACAGTCGTGCAGCAATAACACATCATTTGGCCCGGCGTTGGTTGATTAAGTTATGGAAAGAAGAAACAACCTACGACGT